TTTCCCTGAAGGTAAAGAGGTCAAAGTCCCTCCATTTTCCTTCTTTCGGTAAAGGGGACAATAATTGTCGATTTGGTGGCAATAATTTTCAACCCTACAGTCTCTGTCCACCTAGAGAATATTATGAGAGCCTCCTGCATGCGATCTCTACCTCTATGGTTGAATTTTCCCTGGGATATTATCACCAAATCATCTACATATCCCACTACTTGTTGGCACTTGCTTCTTAGTAGCTCTATTAGCTCGTCCATCACCAGATTCCACCGCAGGAATGGTAACAACTCGGGCCGTTACTGTTATACCGAGGAGCGTGGGGTGGATGACTCTACCTCGAAACATGCAGTCTATCCATCTGCAGCATGTATCATCAATACTTCGTCGGCGTAGAGCTCTCATGATTGCCTAAAAGGAAGTGTTGTCAAGCCGTCCCTCTATATCAAGGAAGGCTCCCAACATAACTTATTTTCCAACGTACTTTCTACCCGCTGAACGAGGTGATGTAGTGCTGTTTCAGTTGAGGTTACTGCTTTGTAAGCCTATTGATCCTGATATATTGGTCTGGTAGCCAATGCACCACCCCGAATGTCAAGCTCAAGCAGTTTTTCTAGAGCCTCCAACAATAATGACATGAGGCTCGTGCATTGTCCTGTCCTATTTTGACAGGTTTGGGAATGAAAACAACTCTGATTTTTTTCCAGGCTTTGAGAATATGATTTAGTCCCAAGCTTGCTCTAAATATAATCAGGAGCCTGGGAGTATAGTGTGCTATTGCATTTTTGTAGTACCTAATACTGGATAAATCTGATCTGGTTCCGGCGATTTATATGGCTCGAATGAGTCAATGACCCATTCCATTTTTGCTATCTGCCAGTTTTCTCTGGCGCCATATCTGGTTGTGGTTAGGTCTACCTAGTCACGGTTTTTGGGGTTTTCTTCAAGGATCACACAATTATTCGTAATTGCAGGACAGTTGTACATGTAAGTAGGCGGATGTAGCAGCGGTGAGCATTTGTTCCGCTGCTAGGTTCGAGTCTACGGTGTTTCTTATCGTTGTTTTTCCGGCTTGCAAATTGTCTCCCAGGTCTGCTCTGTCTGATAGGCTTTAGGCTTCCTAGTTTATTTTCAGTTTTAAAACTGTCCTGTAATTTCTAAGCTAATGCGTCTGTGATTTGAACAACTCAGTTCATTAGTCACATGTCACTTTTTCACGAAGTCACTAACAAATGTTGTAGATACCGTGATGTCGAGTACCTCCTTTCTAACAGTTATTACAAAGGTGGGCTTATTTCCCACGTTTGATATGTCTAAACTATTTGCCATAATAAATTGTAGTAATGACTCACCTCTATTGTTGGTGTTTGTGCTGCCCCATATAGTATGGTGCGCATTCACATCACATCCCATTATAAGTTGCGATCCTTTTGCTTTGCAACTCATTACCAGGTTTTGTACTTCCCTGGATGGTGGCTCTCGAGGATCATCTCCTGGAAGGTAGGCAGATCCGAGTACTAGCTCCCTCTGCCCATCCCCAGCTGACAATCTAATTTTTACCGCAATAAGGTCTCTAAAACAGACTTCCGTTAGCGGCAACATTTTTATCGATTTGCTGTATATCAGCTCCCCATTGATTCCCTGCGATTTTCCCTCTATTTACCCATAGTTCCCGTATGAGTGCAATGTCGTACTTTTCCATAGTCCTAGTGAGAGCGGCAAAGGCAGCTTTGCTTCAAGCCACTTAGTCAGTCTATTGCAACTGAGATGTATTCGCTGCCCTCGTTTGTTCCAGGAAAGGGTCCGTCCAGCCCCATTTTTAATAATCTCAGATCGTTCAAATGACACCTGATGTACCATTACGTATTTCTTCCGATTCTTGAACGATCCAGGTTCAAGTTACCTACGGACTAGTTGCATTGTTGCTTGCTTCCGATCTCAGGCTTGTGTGAGTTGGCTACGAAATCCCATTTGGCCCATAATGCTATAAACAAAAATCCTTTATCGGATATGGCCTTTCAAGGTATCAGGTTTCTTTCAGACGTAGAAGTGGCTCAATAACCAATATCGGAAAGTTGATCTTGTCTAAGCTCTAATAAACCCCATTCAAGATTATTTTCAAATTCAATTCTTCCAGAAGTAATTATTTCTTCGCAGTGTTCTACTCACCTTTTTTATCTGCACTCATTTGGGCGAACTTTTTCTGAACAATCATGTCATGCAATCGTTCTGATCAGTGGTAAGCTTTAAAGTTGGACTGCTTTTATTGAAACCATCTACCTATCTTCTAATTTGTACTTCTAGTCATTTCATTTTCATCAACCATTCAAGTTCTGCTTTCCTTTAGTATTGCAAAAAGTTCTTTTCTAGTATCGCAAACATTTCGTTCAGTCTTTGAAAGTACTCGACTGTAACTAGTATTCGATAGTCCATTCCTCTCCATCCTGTACTTCCGATGGATACAGTCGCAAGTACCTAGTATAAATTGTAATATGTTCATGTTGTTATGTTAAGAGGCTGCGACCGATATTTCTGGAATTCAGATTTTCATCTCTAGAGATTTCTTCCGGGGATAGGAGAAGTGACCAACAGTGCGACATATTTCCTCGATTCCTTGTGACTGGATTATGAATGCGTTCAATAGGAAATAGAAATACCCTGCTAAGAGTTTGGTTTAGGCCAGTAGGTATGCAAAGCCGTGATAAAACTGTCGACGAACCGAATGTGATTTTGAGGTGTTGAAATTTTCCTTGGTGTCGAATTCTGTGATTATGAGACAAAAAAACGTTGTCGGTGACCAATTAAAACAAAGATATATGTTCATAAATTTAGTAGGTATGTAAGTTCCTACATTTACCTTGTTTTTTTTTTAAATACCAAATCTTCTTCACCTGTGTGCATGTCACTGTGTTATAAGTATCTAATAAATAAAAAGACCACCCAAAAATTTCCAAATCAATAAAAAAATATACACGAAATTACATGTTAAATTAGGTATCTCATTATGCCCTCCAGCCCTCCTTGCCCCTTCATAATTTGAGTTTGAGGCGGTTACACACGGGCGTGGATGTCTTGATACATATACGTGCATACATCAACGTGCAAACAAAAACGTGCATGACGCCTTTGTACAGACGCTCGCACAAAACTGTAGTCTTGCTATTTTTGCTACAGTGTTCCGAGTGTGCATACAAAATTTCTAGCGATTGCACATTCAAAAACGCTACGGTATGGGCGGTTACACACGGACGTGGATGTCTTAATACATATACGTCCATACATCAACGTGCAAACAACAACGTGCATGGCGCTTTTGTACAGACGCTCGCACAAAACTGCAGTCTTGCTATTCTTGCTACAGTATTCCGAGTGTGCATACAAAATTGCACATTCAAAAACGCGACGGTATTTTGCATAAACATTGATGTTTTTGTTTGCGCGTTCATGTATGTGCCTACATGTTTTCAGACATCCACGTCCGTGTGTAACCGCCTTATTTTGCATACACATTGATGTTTTTGGTTGCGCGTTCATGTATGTGCGTACATGTTTTACGACATTCACGTCCGTGTGTAACCGCCTTAGGCACGTTTAACTTTTTTTTTATAATTCCGAAAAAAAAGTTTAGGTTTTTAAAGGCGGTTACACACGGACGTGGATGTCTGAAAACATGTACGCACATACATGAACGCGCAAACAAAAACATCAATGTGTATGCAAAATACCGTCGCGTTTTTGAATGTGCAAACTGTAGAATGACGCTCAAATGAATTCTGGAATCGCTAGAAATATTGTATGCGCACTCGGAATACTGTAGCATGAGTAGCAAGACTGATAGTTTCGTGCGAGCGTCTGTACAAGGCGGTTACACACGGACGTGGATGGTTTGATACATATACGTGCATATATCAACGTGCAAACAACAACGTGCATGCACCTTTGTACAGACGCTCGCACAAAACTGTCAGTCTTGCTACTCTTGCTACAGTATTCCGAGTGTGCGTACAAAATTTCTAGCGTTTCCAGAATTCATTTGAGCGTCATTCTAAAGTTTGCACATTCAAAAATGCGACGGTATTTTGCATACACATTGATGTTTTTGTTTGTGCGTTCATGTATGTGCGTACATGTTTTCAGACATCTACGTCCGTGTGTAACCGCCTCAAAGGTGACATGCACGTTGTTGTTTGCACGTTGATGTATGCACGTATAAGTATCAAAACATCCACGTCCGTGTGTAACCGCCTTGAGATGGGAAATTTTTTCCTGTACAGTTTTCTAATTAAAAGTTTTTATAAGGGATTTACAGAAAACATTTTATTGCTAGCAAACTGTTATTTTTCAACTTTTGTTTATAATTATGACGCGAGGACATTGCCGCAAGGTCGCAAACTTGGTAGACCAATTAGGGAATCGAAATATGGCTTTCCACCAATTTGCAACTTTCCCCGACCTTTTGCAAGGTAGAATGAATATTTTTACTGGCCCATTGTTGTTGAATATGGAACCTCATTTTAAGACCTGCAACTACTTTTACATTCAATTTAAATGGACTAAATTTATAATTAAAATTTAAACAAATATTGAAAATTTTAAAAATAAAAATTTTTCAGATTATAGTTGTTTAAAATGTTAGAAATGGAAAGGAAATATTTGTAATAAAAGTTCCCGCACATTGGCAACTTTATTATAAAACTTTAGATTCTTTCATTTTTGGCTTACTGACAAAAAATAGTTTAATAGGAATCTATTTCCGTTTTTCCAAAAGTTATGCATGGATATTAAGTACCTAAATTTTGCATGCCTATCAAAATCATGTATCAGTCACTGCTAAATTTGTTTGAGTGCTTTTATTTAAAAAATATACGATTTAAAATTTCGTTTGTATTGTCCTTTTGCAATTTTTGACCTTGTTGTTTATAATCTATATCACTTTGACATCCTTGGACCTACATCAAGATTTCGAAGATTCTTCATTATTTTTTGATTTGATTATCTACCAGTTATGTTTTTACTTATGAAATATTCATTTTCAATGAAAACAATTTGTCTCAGATTGCGCATATTAAGTCACATTGGCCGGTTTTGTTACATTATAACTACCCATATTGTCACATTTTGAAAAAGTTTTCACATTTTGGATTGTCTGAATTTAACACTCGTGAATTTTTGTTTCCAATTTCTGCAATTTTATAAGTCAAAATAGGTATTAAGTTGTAGGTACATTTTTTAATTTTATAATATTTTTCTTTTCATTGACCAAGTCTACTTGGGTAACATGTAAAAACCGTTTAGAATATTCACAATTTCTTTTTTTCAATTTTATAGTCTATTTTTAGCAGCTATGTCAAAACGGGATCCACAACCCAAATTACTTAATATAAATGCAATAAATAAGAAAATATAGGCCAAGTCCAGTCGATGAATTCCATTTCGTTTTAAGTTTTCAGCTCTAAAGCACACTGACAAACCCACCGCGACCTAACAGTCGACCACCCACTCCTTCCTTTGAAAACATCAATTTCGTCCATCAGGTAAGGAATTACGTCTGTTGTGTTTTAAAACCTGAACAGTCAGTTTGGTAGTCGCGCTTTTACACGTTAAATTTATCGGTGAATAATTTCTTATCTAGCGGTTAGTAAGCTTTGATAACAAGTTAAGCTTTAAAAGAATTAAAAAAAAAAACAAAGTTGCGGGGAGTCTTATCGATTAAATCCGCGCCTTTGAGTCTTGACTCATTTCAGATTCGTCAGCTATTTTCGTACGGTCTATATTCTTTTGGAAATTACGTTGTGTGCTAGAGAGTAGAGTCGCGGGTGTGACTTTGATCGTGATACATTTTTTAGCTACGTAAGTTTTTTATTTTTTTGTATTTTGTCTAATTTTTCAAAGCCTGTCATTATTGTATACAATAAATAATGTGGGATTTGAAACATGTGATTTAGATTTGCATCTGAATGGTTTCCTGATTTTTTTGTTAATTATACTCAAAAAGATAGCCTATAAGGGCCGGTTTCTCAATAACGAGTCACCTCAGAGTTGGTTTTAACTCCAGGGCAAGCGTGTATAATTGCTATGTTTACCCTGGAGTTATGCTTAACCCGGGGTTGACTCGCTATTGATAAATCGGCTCTAAACTGTTTAATCAACTTTTAAAATGATCGCAATTTCAGCACTACTACTTTGAGAACCATTTAATCCTTGGTTTGGCTAATCGGAGCTATGTTACATGTTATATGGGTATATTTCAAATTTTACATGGCACATGTCACATTCCTTCGGCCATCCTAACCGGAGGGTCAAATTGTGGACAAATTAGGTACTTGCCCTCGATCTAATCCTTTCAGAAACTTTGGTTCAGAACAACGAAACGATTATTTAAAAAAATGTTATAAGGCTTTCAGTTGTGAGGAGCGGCTTTTTTAAGATTTTCATTCTTTGATCCCATATAATGTGGGCAATATTAGGTAATTTGTTTATACTGGGTTTAGGACCGTGCTGCAAGTTATTTTTTTTCTTCAATGTTTGCACTAATTTTTTTCTGGTTTTTTCGCTAAAACACGATTTTCCTCAATAAAGGCGTGTCGATGGTACGAGAGGGTTGTGATTTGGTCTTGAGATCTTCCTCAAGTTTGCCTTTCAATTTTGAGATGCAGGGTGATAATTTAAAAATAAATACTTTTTAGCATACTTACATATACTATACAGGGTTAGCCAAACTTGGTGGGCATATAGATAGGCCCGTTTCGAACATATTTTATCAATATACTTGTGGCCTCAAGTTCCCGTGTTTTTTCCATCATTGCTTTCGTCATCGAATTTTCAAAAATGAACTTTTAAACTTCTGTAATTTTTTTTAAAATGTTTATGATAATGTTTTTTTCGTGTGTTTTTGGTCTGTAGGGTACCTATCCTTGATTTTGATGAAAGTTACAGAAGTTAAAAGGTCCATTTTTGAAAATTCTTGAGAATAATACAGAAGCAATGATATAAAAAAAGGAGCCTGAAGGTCACTCATATATTGTTAAAATATCTTCGAAATGGGCCTATCTATACACCCACCAAGTTTGGCTAACCTTCCGCCAAACACCCTGTATATCAAGAGGCATTTTTTAATGGACCGCTTTTCTTAATTTTCACCAGTGACGTTCGGACGGAATTTGATCTGCCTACTTTGGCAGACATTGATGCTATGCCACTGATGTCTTCTTTAATAAAAATCATTCTCGAAATTCCCAATCATTTCCAAGCAAATTTGATCACTTGATTTCTTACAATTTGATGCACGGTTTTCACTTAAAAAACAAAAACCGTTTGCTGCATGATCATATAACAATATCGGTAATACGACTCCACCATGAAGAGTAGATGATTTTATTTTTTTGGGTGGAAACCGTACGTCAAATTGTAAAAATCAAGAAATCAACTGTGTTTAAAAGTGATTGGGGATTTCACATTTTTTTTTTTTTGGGAGAAATCAGTGGCGTACCACCAATTTCTGCCAAAATAGGCAGATCAAATTTCGTACAAACGCCACTGGTGAATATGTATCAGAAAAAAATGTGGTACCTACATCAAAAAATGCTTCTTGATACATAGTACATGCATGCAAAATTTCATGAAAATATCTAAAGTTGTATTACAGATATTAATAATAAATGATTTATTTTCGAAAACTTTGTCACCCTGTATCTCAAAAGTAAAAACGTTTAGAACATACGTTCATGTAGGGCCGATACTTTTGCTCTCGATTAACGAATTTGATACGGCGTCAAAGTTTTGCATGGGCCAAGGTCTATAAGTATGATGTGGTTAGAGCACATTCAAACCTCTGATTATTTTTAGCGGCTGTCAAATGTGAGCAAAAGTACCTGCACTTAAAGTTTGTTTCTTAAAATAGACCCAAAAATCGCCCCCTTAAATAGTGACATTCAATTAGAAAACACCTTATACATCTACTTATTTCAAAATTAATACTTGAATCGAATCAATCAAATGATTTTAGGTAGGTACCTAAATAGGAATCTTAGATTTTTTTTTATATTTCATAGAGTTTTTCTGTGGAAGTGTTAATCTTAATTTACTGTGCATTGTAAATTTCTTATAGTTTCTCTTTTAATAAATGGTACGATATATCAAACCCACCAAATTTTAATCCCTTAAACCCCTAACAGAGTGACCCAACACTTTCAATAGCCTCATTCGTATGCACATACAGAATTTTTACAAACTTCTTCAACCCTTATCAATGGATTTCCAAACTTCAAGAGGAGTATTTCTGTAAATTATACTACCCACCCATAGTTTAGTTTATTTATTAATAATAATTGCATATATTATAAGTGCTTTTACAAGTCAGAAAGTGTAAAGTACAGAATCCTCAATAAATCTTATTATAACAATACTTTCACCACTCAAAATATTCAGAAAAAGTAACGTTTCTTGCAGAGAGCATGCCATCTTGCATATAGATTCTTTAGGTCCATAGAGTCGATTTGACCCGATTTGACTGATCTTTTACCTTGAGAATTCAAAATGGCTGTTTTTTTTTAAAAAAAAAAAAGGAAAAATAACCCTAGGGTTAAAATTTTGTGAAAAAAAAAACCATTTTGGTGCCGAATAAGTACTATTATTAACATAATATTACCAATAATTCTCAATCCTGGTAGAATAGAGTATTTTTTAAAATGTGACACCATTGCTGTAATTTCACACTATTGTATCAACGAAATGTGCACTCTTGATTACTTTTGAAGCATTTAGAGCGGATCTTATTAGGACTTTGAGGAATGAAAAAGTGTGACATTTGATGACGGTATTTCTTTATTATCATGAGATCCGCAAGTTGATTCTCAGATGAAACTTTTTCCACTTTTATTTGGCCATCTGATATCAGGTCACGGACAAACAAGTGTCTGATGTGAATGTGTTCCTTTCGAGTCGTTGGTTGGCGCCAGGAGTCCATCATCTATAATACTAGTAGTCTTCTTCAACTTTCGTTATAAAAAAAGGGGTCGGTATCCGATCTTCTAGAAACCAAGAACTTCTATGTAATCGGCAAGTCTTTGTTTCCAACGTCTAGGTGCTTGTTCTAGTCTATAAAGAGTGCGCTGAAGTTTACAGACCATGTAACTTCTATCTTCATACCCCTCTGGTTGCTTCATATGGACTTATTTATTTAGTTTTCCATAGAGAAATGCATTACATACATCAAACTGAGTGAGTGTGATATTCTTACTAGCAGCAATACTGAGAAGTGACCTAATTCTTGGTTCTTCCCTTAGCTACAAGAGTGTAAGTCTGGTCGTAATCTTCACCTTTTCTTTGTGATCAACCTTTGATAGCTAGAGCTTTGTACTTGTCAATGGACCCATCTGGATTGGTTCTCACTTCATACACCCACTTACATGGTACTGCCTTCTTAACCTCTCAAGTACAATTTTCTTGTAGTGACTGTATTTCTTCATCCATTTCCAAAATCCAATTGTCTTTATCATTGCAAGTAATAACATCTTTGTAGCTTAGTGGCTTCTGTGGTTCGATCATTTCTGCAGCAGCTGTCATAACATAGTCCTCAAAACGAACAGGTTTGTTTAGCTATGTTCTCTCTCTCAGTTGTTTTCTTATTTCAGGTTGATCTTCTAGGTTTTCTTGTATTTTTCTATGCTCATTTTTTGTCGGATCTGTCATTTCCAGGCTTGTATCTGTTTGGTCTGGTATCTTCAAATGTAGATTAGTATGATTTTGATCTGGTATTCTTCGGAGAACTATTCTTGTTCTAGTTGATCTTTAGGTTCATTATTTGATGAATTCTGTTACTCTTCTTTACTTTATAACAAGTTTCATTGGTTTATGAGCAATGAAACAAATTTTACACGGTTGACGGCAAAGGGGTTTCATTAGGATCAAAATTACCCTCTTTTATACCTGATGGGACTGAAACTAGTAATCTCGCGACATTTTTTACTTTAAGGTTGATCTCAGTGACCTCTTTTTGTATGAAAACGATACCAAATTCGGCACAATTGAAATGATTTATTTTTATTTTTTCATTTATTTCTTTAAAGTCCGCCATTTTGAAACCACATGGTCGGGAGTCGTTGTGCTTCGGGTTAAATCAATTCTTTGAAAGCTCTGCACTAGACCTGCAGAGCGGCATGGTTTCTGCAAGAAAAGTTACTTTTTTTGCGTACCGCTTGTCCAAGATAAGAATGGGATAGCATTAGGATCTGGATAACGGTTAGAGTTACAATGTTGGTTAGATTAGGAAAAAGTTGGGCAATTTAACGCTCAATAAAATGGTACATTGAGATTTGAAAAATTCCGAGATATCCGGAAAAAAAACGAAATTTTGCGAGATCGATTTTATTTTTTTCTGAACTTATTTGAGGAGATATTTCAAAATACATGTCACTTCATCGCTACGACTTTTCCTACTCTACAAGATGACATTATCAATTTTAAAATTTGAAATGTGGTCTTTGAGCCACCATCATCAACTTCATTTTTTTAAATACGGACACTTATTTATTATTCCAGATTTTATAAGCTTTTGATGTCCCAAAACCGATGACGTATTGCACTTATTATGTTGTATTCCTTACAAATCAGAAAACAGCTACAGTATGTTCTGAGTCTACATTAAACAAAATAACAGTGTTTTAAATATGAAAATTTGGTTAAAATTATGCAATAAAAAGACAAGGGACGAAAACTAAAAACACAGACACTGTAAAAGATTCAAGAACAGACAGAATAATATTGAATTACCTAATCAAAAACAAAATTACCATCAAGGTACTCCTCAAAAGAGTAGAATGCTCCTGAAGAAGGTATTTTTCCAATGAATTTTCTCTCCTCAAGGGTTTTTCACATCAGTAGGAAGAGCGTTAAAAAATCTCATCCCGAAGTGATCTGAATGCCTTCAAGTTCTTTCCAATCGATGATAGCTAGGTACCAGTTGGACACGATTTCTGGTTGCACATGAGTGGAGATCTGCATGAGCCAGGAAGAGCTCGTGATACAAGGAAAAGTCAAAATTCGTAAGCTCCTAAAGGTATCCCTACAGCAGACTCGAGTCTCGGTATTATAAACCTGCTATTATTCTTATGCACCGATGTTGGAGTTTAAAAATTTGCTTGGCTTTTGTGGCATGACCCCGGTTCAGTATTGCATATGACATATTATATAGGCTGTACAGTACAGTAAAAGTAGAAACATCCTTTAAAAAGTTTCGTATCAGAAATGTAATATTAGAAAGCTTGGCGCGAAGGTTATCCACATGAATTTCCCAAGTGAGTTCTGGGTCGAGATAAACACCAACAACTTTGACTCTCTCGTCACTAGGTAGTTCACATTCAGTGGTTCCCAATATGGAATCAGGATTTTGAGTTTCCCCTTTTGTTGAGATTGAAATTTGTTAGCTGAAAACCCAGTTCTTAATTTTTGTTTGGCTGGTTTCTATTATCTCTTCAATAGGTTCTGACGGATGATATTGTTGTAAAGTGGTTGTGTCGTCAACAAATACAACAAGTGAATGATTCACGATATTGCAGAAATTTGGGAGGTTATTGATGTAGATGAGGAAAAGAAGGGAGCCCAGCACAAAGCCTTGAGACTCGCCATGCTTGATTTTCTGCCTGCTCGAGCTCGTACTATTAAAGAACACATACTGTTTTCTCGCCTTCATGTAAGATCTAACAAAAGCTACACTGCTCGGATGGAAGTTGTAATGCTCAAGTTTGTTAAAAAAGATGTTAAAAGAGATGCTGTCAAAAGCCTTTGTCAGGTCCAGAAAGGAAGCATAAATATCACGTTTTACTTCAAAACCCTTTGCAACAAGCTCAGGCGGTTGATTGCCAAGTTTTGTGTAGATTTTTTTATTTCTAAAACCAAACTGACTTTGGGTAACAAGATTACCATTTTTACAGTGATTATATTAATCTGATGTTTCATTTATAATTCTATAATTTTCGGTATTATTGGTAAAAGAGAGATAGAGCGATAATTATTGTAGTCGTCAGAGCTACCTGTATACTCTTATAGATAGTTAGGTACCTATTACTTTTGCAATTTTCCTGGTTTGGATGCAATGTATAAGTCTGTCACTGGCCCCGTTAAGATGTCTTATCATTTTTGTGTTTAATTCATAGAGCGATCTTGGCTATTGCTATTTTTAGGATTTTAGAATTTGCCTGCCACCATACTGGAGGTGAGGTGACCTCTATAAATTTAAAAACATCGACTTCAAAACTGGTTGGCAAATAATCATGATAGGATTTCTGACTAATTTACAAACCTTTTATGACCCTCTATTTCTTGCCTGTAAGTGGTTCGAAAGTCATTAACCATTTTTCGAGGAACTGAAATTGAATATTGCTTTTTAAGCAGGTTTAATGTCTGGAGTTGTTCTCTCATACCCCGCAGGGTATCAATTAACCATTCTACCTTTGGCTATTGTTAAGACCCTTGGTAATCATTTAAGATTTGATTGGCAATAGTTCATTGCAGTGTTTCTCAATCTTTTGTAGAGTGAAGAACCTTAGAGCGCACTTTTTTTTTCTAGGGAACCCCTACTACCCTGAGTATACCTACTTAAATACATATAAGACATAATGCTTGGTTTTGTGTCAAAATTTAGACATTAATACTTGAAGGGAGTGTGACCCAAAAAAATAACTTAAGCTATTTGAATCAAGAAAAAAAATCTAAGATCTCTCGTGAAAACCGCAGTCCTATATTCAAAATAGTTTCCGAGAAAACTCCTTGTGAAGATAAATTATGCAGGAATTTGTGATGTCACAATCGCCGAAATCGCTGTCTTCTGTTCGTTTAGTCGTCAGTGAACCGTGCCCTATACTTTGAGTAGTTGCGATTCGCTCTAAGTGAGATCGTTGACTTGTATTTTGGAAAATTTTACACTATGCTTCTGAAGTCAGTGTGTCGTCACAGCCTAGGCGTTTCTCAAGTCCGCCCTCACTGATAAAGTGAGTGGCGAGTGGTCTGAGAAATCATCCAAAGGATATTTTGAAAGCTCAAGGCCCTCTCTGATAAAGTCAACAAGAATGTTCTGGTCGGGTAGTAAAATGCATGTTTTTGTAAAGATCAAATGAGTTAAAAAAGAAATTCAGAGTTTTTTTACTTGACCTCTTTGTAGGCACAGGTGGAAGATTTCACCAATTAGGTATATTCTGCTTGCAGTCTTATCAGTATTGCGTTATTTTTTCCTGTTATGTAGGGACGCTAATGAACTAAGGGCCGGTATTTCAATGTTACCTTCAAATCAAGACTTACCTGAGGTTCCCTTAACGTTAAGATGAACTTGAAATCAGTTCATTCAGGTGGCTTAAGATCCACCTTGAATTAAGGGAACTTTGATATATATACGGTGAAACTTGTATTGAGGATGACTTAACGGTATTCTGTACCTTCTTAAGGTGGGATTGAAATACCGGCCCTAACTGTAATAAATGCATTCCCACATTTTCCAAAGAAGAGCTCAAAATATCTAACAAATAAATTACATGGATCCTTGATGAATAAGGTTTAAACAAAGTTTCAGCAAATTCTGATTAGGTTTTCTTTCTCAGTGAAAATTCCTATTTTTCTGAAATTCACGACATTTTACGCGGCCTATTTTTGATTGCAAGTAATATTTGTGTTTGAGGTAGCAAATCTTGGTCATATTTTACCGATATTGCCTGCTCAAAAAAAGTAACCAGTGAATTACTAAAATTATCAATAACAAAGTAGTATGATTTCATCGACGAAAAATTTATAACTTTTTTCATTGCATAATTTCTAACCATTCTGGCTAAATTATACCTTAAGAATGCATACATATTTTTTCTATTGGCAAAATAATATACTAACTGTCGGAAACATCTGCTTCCGTTTAAAATATCCTGACAGAACCATCATAAACACCTCAAGTTGATTTCAAAAATTTTGCATTTTACAAAATTATCCTGAACAAAAAGTTCTAAAAATAGATGCAAAACTCAGTGATATTACGAAAAATAATTCGATTAGTTAATACTGGAATGGCGATATATCCACCTACTTAAAAATAGATTGATGATTTCATTATTTTACTTCAACCGGGAGACGATTAAAGTATGTTATTTGAGAAACATTCAATTTTACATTTATTTATATTGAAAAAACAGAGTCAGGAGCTTCAAACTTTATATTACCCTTAACCCAGACATAAACACCTAAGCAAGGGAAAAACATTAAAGATGTGATATTTTGAAATGGCTTCCTACATTATTATCTCAGTATTTCACTATATCAACCTACAACCAAAACAAAAAAAATTACAAAACAACCTACGACTAATATTCTAAAAATAACTGTTGATTATTGTTAATACGTTTATGACTAATAACTTAATTTTTCTTTGACACAAGATAACACTTTGTAATTGTTTATGTGAAAATTTCGGAAACAGATTTGATGTCATCCTATTATCTTTAATTAAACCAAATTTGCGTTGAATTGAGATTTGGCAATATGATACCAAAACTGATAAAGATTTTATTGCTCAAATATTTTCAATTTACACTCACTGAAGCTGGTATGTAAATATTTCATGTTTCATTTCTGAAATTGAAGTTGGGATAAATAATTATCATGATATTGACACCGTGCAAATATAGTCAATCTTTTATAAAATTACACTTACAAACGTAAATAATTATTGTTGATTCAAGCGTCTTGGGATTCTCTATTTATAAGTATGTTTGAACTCTTGTGTTTGAACGAACTGCATGAAGAAAGAAAAACAAAAAAACAAGAAGGGGTCCATTGCGGTCAAAAATAAAAAACCTCCCTCAATAACAAAACTATCTGAAACAGCCTTCAACTTGAAATTACTTCCAAACATGACTTTTTAGGAAATAAATATGACTCTTACAAAGTTCACTCTGATATATTTCAAGGACCTTAAACAATGTGTATTTTTTTGAAGTTTCAGAACAAGAATCCAACATGTCTCACAGCGTAACAGTTACCAGAACCACCACAACGACAACCACCTCGGCCATTATTATAAACACCGGTTATTTGAAATCATGGCCTGGTATACTCAAACTTGCTGAATTGGTAAGAATTGAAATAGAGATATTTAGTATAATACAACAAATTTAATTCATAATTAAAATTCCTATATCCGCACGGCCGCAAATAATTAAATTGACAATAATATCAAACGAAATGATTCAATATGTATTTATCCGTCTTTGGTCATGCATGCATATAGCATCAGATTCACTGGCGATCTTGACCCAAAATTACAAGGAAAATTGTCGGCCTTTAAATACTTATGCAAGTCTGTGGCTTTGTAAACCAGTCAACATTGTTTATTTTACGTTAAAACTTTCAGCAAATATATGGAAAATTCATTCAACTTAGAGAAATGAAAATTTACATAAATATTTATTCAGAGCAGCTCCAGCTACTATTACTAATTAAATACCGAAAACATTACTTTTGCGAATAATGTTTTTTGTGTCAGTTCGAAAATGGGATAGTTTGGTAATCGCTGTTGCTCAAATTAAAGGAGTAGGTACTTTCTTTAGAGGAAAAAAATTGTCTTAGATCCCGAAAAGTGTAATACAGTGCACCAGTGGAGCACCGACTCAGTTAAGGCCGAATTTATAGTTGCTCTTTGAGGTTTCCTCAGACCTTAAGGAGGCCTTGAACGTTTAGAATTAACATGACTAACTTGTCAAATAGTAGCAAGTGTCCATTCTAAACTCACGACCTTCAAGGAAGACCAAAGGACTATAAATTCGGCCCTCAATCTCCCATCCCTCCCTAAGACATTAATTTAAAAAAGTATATAGTGCAATTTTTTTTCCAAAACTTTACATCTGTCAAAATAGATTTCGGCAAAACATCTAAAACTGCTAGGGCACAGGAACAAGTTTCACAGTTTATTTTTGCAATAATTGATATTACAAGAGCTGAAGAAGGTGACACTTTTCCTTCGATCAAGATGATTTGATTAGTTGGTCAAGGACATGCTGCTCCCTGTTCTATGAGTGGCCACAAAATAGGAGTTCAAACCCTCATTCGTCCAGAATATCCCAAAGCTGTGTCTACATATGTACTTTTCTGTTTGCATACCTTCAATCAAGTTCAGGCCAGATATATGTATAAGAGTCATATGGGCATTATAGGAAACCAATCATTTTCAACTATTTGAGAAAGCCATAAATAGACCATTCAACAAAATAAGCAAAAAATTAGGAAATCGGAAAGATTGTGTTCCACAATATGGGTTTAAGACATAATGGAAGAAGTCACACCTTGGACAAAATTTCCCAAAGATTTTGAACCCATACCAGGATCTGACCAGAGCTGTAAGTGTAATGTGACAAGAACCTATTTCTAATAATCAATTATCTATTTACCATTACTACTTTCCCAGTGAAATGTGTTGTTTGAGAAATTCTACAGATGGAGAAAGTTAAAATGGCTTAGCTCTAATATTTATAATCCTCATTAACTCGCTATAGTTACACATACAAAATTTTTACAAACTCTTTCAAGAAAACCCACCCAAAACCCTTTTCAGCCGTCGACCCGAAAAATCTTCTCGCCAAACAATGGGTTTTCGGGTTTCACAAGGCGTATTTATGTTAATTAATAAACAAATTAAAGTTGGAACATCCTATTCCCATTCTTATTAGAAATAATAATTTTTACGTACCTTCCTTACTTATGTTTTTTTTTTAAAATTATTCTCCTGATAAAGAACTGTCTTCATTTACATTATTAACCAAAGGTTCAACTGTTGCCTCAATTAAATTGTCCAGTTTCCAAATACTTTCCTCTATGCCAAGAATATGCTCAATACATTTCCGCTACTTATCAGCATCTATTTCTTGAATTGCCTCACAAAACAATTTTCCAACATCTTTTATTTTAAAATTTGTGTTGCTTCTTGCAACATATCCCTTGACTTGTGCCCAAATTAACTCGATAGGTTTCAGTTCGCAATGATGAGGCGGTAACTTTAGAACAATTATACCCCGTTTTTTGGCGATTTCATCTACGATATAATTTGAATATCTGGATCTTTATGGCTTTGCTATTGCAAGTAATGCTTTCTTCACCATATCTTGTTCGAAGGGTATATTTTTCTCCAATAGCCAAACTTGTATTTTCTCTTTGTACCATTATTGGAGTTTTTTCTTCTTTTCTGAAGTGGTAGCTGGCATTATCCATTACTATAATTGAGCCTTCGGGAAAAAGTTCTATCATCTGCTCAAAATATTTCTCAAACGCATGGGCATTCATCTCCTCATCATGATAATCTCCATTACGGTTCATTAGAAAGGGTGGCAGTAATCCACCTTTTAAAGACCGATTCTCTCCGCCGATATGGGTGATAATTGTCTTTTTCCCTTTTCTTTTGGTGGGGTTATATTGGTTGACCATCCTTCAAAAAAGTTTGACGAGAACTTTTAACGTTTTTTATCTTTTTAACAGTATCATTATCATCATCAAACATCCTCTTTTCACGTTGGTATCCACTAATGGGTTTCTTCGTCCATCTCCCGTCCTCAGATCTTGCGACCTGGCCTGCCCATTTCCACTTTTGTTTTGCAATACGTTCTACAATATCGTCCACCCCAGTTCTTATGCCGATCTCATTATTCCTTAGTCGGTCTTTTAAAGTCAATCCAAGCATGGATCTTTCCATTCGTCTCTGTGTTACTCTCAAATTTTCTGCTGATGCTTTGGTGAGAGTCGATATCTTCACACCATAGGTCAGGACTGGGAGGACACACTAGTTGAATGCTATTCGCTTCAGGGATATTAGAACGTCAGCCCTAATCACAGCCCTCATTTTCTCGAATGCTACCCATCCCAAGGTTATTCTTCTCGTCAATTCGCATGATTGGTTATCTCTGTGAATTCTCATCTCATCTCATGACTTAGGTATACGTACACTTGTCCACTATTTCTATATTATTATTGCCTATCTGTATTTGCTCACTTAAAGTTCCTGGAGCATTTCTTTAGCATCATTCAGACTCTATGATATGAGGGCAATGTCATCTGCAAAGCAAAGATTATTAAGACTTCCCCCATCAATGATTATTCCTTTTTGCTCCCAAGGTAATTTCTTTAAAGCATGTTCAAGAACTGTGATGAACAGCTTGGGTGACATAGTGTCACCCTCTCGGATTCCTTTTTTGATTTTAATTTTTGTGGTGATGGAGTAAAGATTTACTCCGGTCGTTGCGTTTCCGTATATGTTTTAATGGTGATCAACTCTACTTTCTTGTAGTGATCTCAAGGTTGCAGGAAGCTTTAAGGTGTCGAAAGACTTTTGGAAGTCTACAAACACCAATATCAAAGGACGCTGTATTAATAAATACTTTTTTTTATGAGGGTTTTGAGACACTGAGGGTGATCGTTGGTACCGAACCCAGAGCGGAAACCAGCCTGTTCCCAGGACCAAAGTTTACCAGGACTGATAAAAGCTCAATTTATCTAGTCGATTTACTATTGTACGAGTATAGACTGTGCATCAGCCAAATGGAATAAATTCGATAATAAATAAATGAGAGTATTTTCAAAAAAACGCTCGAACACATCGATTTTGCTTTTTTGCTTAAGATTTTGTCACACCAACTTTTTATACAGGGTGTTCCAAGAACAGCTGTACCGTTATCAACTTAATTTTTTTAGATTGTCCCCCTGTATACTATGACATTTCTGGATTCTGCGAAAAATTCTAGACATATTTCATGTACAATGTCATATACCTATCTTCAACTGTTTCGGAAATATTGAAAGTCGAATATTGACTTTTTTGTATCTTTGACAGATTGCAAAACCAAAACGGTTGATTTTAGAGCAAAACCGATCATGCATTCATAATATCCGTTCAAATTCAAAGTTGGTGTCAAATGATAGCTTATGAGAAGCTATAGACGAGAATGTGAAATCGGTTTTGCTGTAAAATTATTCGTAGGTTTTACAGCCTGTCCAAGTTGCAAAAAAGTTAATTTTGAACTGTCAATATTTCCGAAAGAGTTGCAGATAGGTATCTGACATTGAACATGAATTATTTCCAGAATTTTCCGCAGAATCCAAAAATGTAATAATATTCAGGGGGTACTGTTTGAAAAAATTAAGTTGATAACCGCACAGCTGTTTTTGGAACACCCTGTATAAAAAAAATAGATGTGAAAAAATATTAAGCAAAAAAAAAACAAAATCAACGTGACCGAGCGTTTTTTCGAAAATTTATTTATTATCGAATTTATTCCATTTGGCTGATACACACTGTATAATTTGTATAGGTGATTGAGTAGACTTATTGGTTTGTAGTTCTCGAGGTCTGTTTTATCACCTTTTTTATGTAGCTAGATCATAACTGATTTGTTCTAGTTCTAGTTCCGGAATGTTATGACTCTGCAGACACAGATTCAATAGATTTTGAATTTTTCTTATTAGTGTTGGCTCCTTCTATATTTCCTTATTGTTGCTTGTCCTTTTTAAAGCATTTTGGATTTCATCTATAGAATCATCCGGAATATCTTCCGATCCTTGGTTTTGGACTTTTATTGTTTGTTTCATTTCTGTATTGGTTTTGGATTCTCCTCCTACTTATATTTGGTATGTCGTCATCTTGTCTTATAACTGCCAGAATTTTCTCCAAGGCGGTATTTCTTTTGTAAAATAGAATGAATGCACTTTTCTTCGAATTGCATTCAAGATGCCCAATGGTTCCTAGTCCCTGTAATACAAGAAAGTTGTAATAATTGAGAAATTTGACATAAAAATATGAGGCGTTTTTCAATGTCAGAGGGATATTCGGTCAGACATTTTTTTGTCAAACAAAGTTATTGAAATCATCCCTGAATGTTGTTATCAGTTAAATATTGAAATGATTGGGTGATTTGTGACACATGAGAAAAAAACAACAAAATTTAAATGGCTGTTAGAACAGTCTAAAAAGATTCTAGCAGACACCTAATGCAGAAAATGAACAGTTACCTAAATATAATTTTACACCTTTTTCATTTCATTCAAATCAATCGGTATACCGCTCATCGTTCACTATAACTCCTGTGGCTATGTAGAGCCTAGTTTTTTTCAGAGAATACGTTGTCGTTCTTCTATAAGCCGTGATTCTTGAGCCAGATAAGAAATCGATAAGTCAGGCACCCATGCAGCACGTTCCGTTCCTGAAGTCTTTCAAAGAGGAATTTCAAAGCTGATTAGACATCTTCCAGGTGTTTTGATCTGCATGAACGACATCCCAATAGTAGCAAAGACTCAACAACAATATATGACGAATACTTGGACGCTGCAAGCACTGGAGAAAGTTTGATCAGGACTAGTGCAAATTTATCTTGAAGAAAATAAGCCATTAAGGATTGATCATTAAACAAACGAGATACCAGAATCATCACAGTTATCTTCGAGATCAGTATTTTATTTTAGTTAGTTTTCTTGGCACTGTTCAAGTACTAATTATTCAGCTGCTTGCTGGACGACTCGACTATGTCTTATTAGTTGTTTATGTATCATATATAAGATCATAGGTAACAGGGGAATGAAAAACATCATCGGCCTTTGAGCATTTTGCGAAATCAAGAGGACAGACTGTTGAAAGAGAAATACAACAAAAAGAAGAACATGATTGGTTCCAGAAAATATATATTGATGTTTGTTTTTACCAGCTAAATCGACCTTGCCTTACTCCTTCAACTTGAGCCACAGTGTATAATAAAATTTTAAAAATGCATGTAGAATTTTATTTGACAAAAGTTTTAACACTGCTTATTTCTTGTCAGTTTTTGGTGTCCCAAAATCAAATTTTAGACATTGAGAAATATGGATTTTCAACCAACAATTTGGCTTTAACATTCTTGAATAGGTACCTACGAAATTTGAAGTCGCCAATTTGTTTTAGCAAATTGTAACACCTATGTATTTTTGACTAACATTTATTTTGTTGGTAACATAATACATTAATGATTTAATTATTTTCAGATTCTGGGCATTGTATGCGTTGGTCTGGTAGGATACTACTACCAAAAATACAACAGTTTCACTCAAACTCCGGAAACGTTTTTCCTTCTCATGGCAGTAACTTTCTTGATTGGAACGTTTTTGCTGTTACTATCTTGCCTGATATCCATATCGACATCTTCAATTATATCCAAAACCATTTACGTAAGTATATTATATGATATATTAAGTATTTATGATCTATTGAAAATATTACCAACATAAGCAATTATTTATTTCCCATATTTTGTATACTGATTCATTTTAATTATATTATGCATGATGATGAGTAACTTATTATTTTGAAGGCGAGTATCTTATATTATGGTATTTTTCTAGGGAAAATAAAATTATCATGATTTAAATGTTTATTCAAACGTGACACAAAGAATAAATTTATAAATTGTATTGCCACAATACTTACATTAAAAAAGATCCAAACGTTTTCTTAGCAAAACTTTTGCCCTTATTGTAATTATCTAACATTATCATTGATTAATTTCCTTTCAGGAAGTCATTTATCATGGTTTTGCCTTCCTACTCCTCCTCGCGGCCAGTTTGACTTTTATCATTGAAGTAAACCATAAAAAGAGATCCTATTCTAATGACTATGAGCCCTATTTTGCAGCTGCTGTAAGTACAAAATACTAATTTTTCAAAGAGAAAATATGAATCTATGTAACATTGAAACTGTTTTTGTTCAAGGTCATTGGACTTGTTAACAGCGGATTGTACCTCCTGAGCACAATTTTTGCCAACAGAAGCTACAGAGGATTGTAAAGAAACAGTTTTGAATTGTTTCATTAATTAATTTATTTTTTTAACTTTTACTTTTTAAACAGTAGAAATGCAATTACATATTTTAATGTGCAAATTATTTTTTTTACTTTATACATCTCTTTGTAAAATACTCAAAGTATTTATTTACATACCATATAGGTTAATAGCCTTAAAGTTGGCATTTTTCTGAAATTTACATACATTTTTAAGTGCTCTATAAAATTTTAAAAAAATATTATATTTTTATGTAGGTACCTACCTACCTACTTATTTATAGGAATTGTGCTGCCATATTATATAATAATATAAGCTATAATAATTGTGCCTTAAATGTACTTATGTCTTATGTCTTGTGGCTTGTGTCATCATAATATTTTGAATAAAGTTTTTTGTTATTTTTCAAGTCTTTGCTCTATTTATTTTCGGGCAATTATTTTTCACGCAGTAAAGGAAAGATTCAAGCTTAAAATATGGTAAGTATTATGAAATAGAAATAGGTAGGTTATCACAGCATTTCAACAACTGGATTTACCTCTAGGGGAGAAGAGATGACCGGCGCTCTCTGCGGCCATAAACGATTTGATATCAGAGAAACTGCAACAAACACTATAATTGAAGTGCATCATGAAAAATCAGAAAAGCGAAGGCCTGCAGGCATGCTATTTCTCTCAAAACTCGGAAGAGACGAAAAATAGCATGAATCCATGGCTGGAACTTTGCAATGGATAGAGAACGTTATCCCTATCGCTATGGCACTAGCTGTTTTCTTCTCTCTTTCCGAAATCAATAGAGAGGAGACGTTAATAGGGATAGAGAAAATATCGCTATTCGTTACAGAGTCCCAGCCCTGGAGCTTTATCAATAAAGATTGTTCATTTGTGTTGTGCATGCTATTATGCCATACATTCATAAAATTTTTTGAGGATTGGAATGATGCATAGGTCTTTTCTTCCAACACTATGAGAAAATTGAATTTTACTGCCTCTATAGCAACGAGAAAGTAGGCGTTTCTGAGGCTAGTCCAGGAAAAAAATTCGAAAATGGCTAGGCTAATAGAGGGCGACAGGTACCTACATAATAAATTTTAAAAAAGGTATATTTTTCTGCGATTTTGATCAAATTTCAATTCAGAAGAAACTGTTTTATTCATTCTCTACCTAATAAAATGCTAGTAGCAGAATTTAATTTGTAGTTTACATCACTTTATATTTCGACAAAATTACTTGACAACATCAAAAAAGGGTCCACCAGGTCTGTCATCGTTTTTTTGTCAGAGAGCTCTTGTCACAATTATCTTATGTATGTGTCTTGTTGGTACTATTTAAAAATACAAATAAGTGATTATACTAAAACTCATATAGTCCATTATCCCTGTGAACCATAACATTGCCGGATATCAGAAAGGAGCCAAGTGAGAAACCATACAAATTTTACAAATACATCGGCAAACTAGTGTCATCTTAATACAACATACGACATACAAGACCTAGGACCGGAAGTAAGAGAAACTATACAACTACAAGGGTGAGAAACAACACACTGCCCCTACCCGACTAAGAATTTTCAAATACTGGAGGCCTTACTCAAAAATGGGATATTGCTGGAATTGAGTTCAGCCTACTTATAATACTTTTTTTTTTTTGAGTTACCACTGTTTGATTGCTATCGAGTTTGGTACGAATTTCTTACATAATGAACAAAAACGAGGTTAATACTGAGATTACTAAATTAAAAACGAAATTACAAATTGTTTCAAGTAAATTAAAACGATTCCGAAAATATATTGATTTTCTAATTGATCAGTCTGTTTATCCAAGTATAGTTTCTGAGTTAGACATTACGGTAAAAAATTCTGAGCCTTTGAGTTACCTCAAACTGAACTAGAGAAACTAGATGTTGCTGAAATTTCTAGTGAATCTAGAAAAAACTTTGAGACAGATTATTATTTTATTATGTGCACGTAATTTTATTTCTAAATTTTCTACTATTTATAATAGATTTCCTGTTCCACCTGTGCCAGGAGTAGCTTCTACTTCAAAAATATCCTGATCCTTTGAATGTCAAGGTAGCAACACTTAATTTACCTGTTTTTGGAAATCAATATGAGGAATGGTATGAGTTCCAAGACACTTTTTTAGCGCTTATTGATAACAATATGTCACTTACTGAAAAACAAAGGTTTTACTACTTAACCCTCGCCTTACCGACAGCGGGTCAGCGATGACCCAAAATCTTATTTTCCAGGAATATCTTGCGGCTCCGCGACTTTTTTTTAGAGATCTTCTGTAAATTCTCCTAATTTATGTCAAGAATACTGCCTTTTGTATGATTTTTTCAAAAAAACAATTTTTCCCCGGAAAACTTTCTATGGGTCACCAATGACCCGGTTTTGGGATAAATCGGTATACCCTGAAACATTGAACTAAACAAACACTCTGGAACGGGTGCACTGCTTCATGCTAGTGTGCCGAATTTTGATATATGCAACCCAGCAATACAGAGGGATTGTTGTCTCGCTCGCACTCATTGCAATTAACGTAAAAGAAAGAAGACCTTCTTCATCTTCCTAACCTCAATGATCCAAACACTTCAAACAGCTGTTCTCGATAGCCGCCATAGTGCAGAGAGAGATGCAAATCCCTCTTGTTTGTTATCCTTCCTGGCACAAACCCTTGCTATAGAAACATTATGCAGCCACCGTTCCAGAGTGTTTATTTAGTTCATTGCCATGAAACCCTCCAACTCGACAAGTCGTAGCAAGCTTTTTTCACGTGTTTTCGGAATTTATAGCTTTTGTCCTTCAGTTTACTATCTAATTATCTTATGAATAGAAAGTTTATTTTATTGTTTTTTCTGCATAATGAAATTAAAGCATAATGCAAAAACATGTTTCATTATGATTCTCGAAATTTTATATTCAAAATCACTCAAAAAAAAGGTTTGTATCTGGGTCCATTTTGAACCTGTTCTGGGATCCCAAGTTTTAAAATTATTTTGGGGCGGCGAGGGTTGAAGCTCGACCAGTGGCGTAGCCAGCCTTGCGGGGCGGAGGGGGCAAACATATAAGGGGCGCATAATTCTCTTGGGGGGTCAACAAATAAATGTTTCTATGATTTTGTAATATGCGCTTATTGGGGGAAAATATTAAAAACGAAAAACCCGCCGAGGTCGAAAAATGTCCTCAAGTGCCACGCCCAAAAAAGTTTATTTTAAGCATTCAAAAACATTTTTTTTTCCGGGTGCCGGATGCCGCGTCGAAAGATATCTATGTATTTTAAGCCCTACCAGAAATAATGTGTGTACATGCCGTTACCACTTTCACTACCACGCGTCACACATATGTGACAAGCAGTTTTTGCCAGGAACTGATGTCACACAAGAGTGACAATGACCCTACAATGATTGAATGCAAATAACTCCCGGGCGGTTCAACGGCGACAGATGTGTTTTGGCATCAGCTTCTAGGACTGTTTGGCACACATTTGTGTCGCATGGTTTCAGGATTGGATAATCTGTTTCAGTCATAAGCTTGTGGCCGCTGTGGTTCATATCTCGATTCATATCGTCTCCCAACTAATGCGGATTTCTGTTGTTTCTAGACTCTCCTACTGGAGTTTGACGTTACAAGGTAACACTCACTGGATATTGAACAATAATTATCGCCTATACAGCGTAGCCGAGAGTCTAGAACAGCTAACAGTTTATGTCACACATGTGTGTCGCACGGTTTGCCATCGTGACAGTTGGTAAATTTTAATGGAAAATTTATCGGAAACCGATGTCACATATATGTGTCATTGAATGTTATTACAAAAAATATATAACAAAACACATATAACCTGTAAAAAATATATAATTTCTGTCAAAAGTTATGCTACCCAAAAAAACGCGGTTGGTTTCGAGCATCGTCAAATTTCATAATAGCGGTCGTGAAAGTGTTAACTTCAAAAAAATCTTTCCGGACGCCTTGAGAAATAGAAAAAATCCAGGAAAATCCAGACGCATGTCAGTTCCACCCAACCCATTAACCCATAGTTTAATAAACAAATACCACATCAATCATCAAAACAGAAACCTTTCCTCTGATTGGACTGAATTATTTGCCGACAATGCCGACTTACGATAAAGAATAAAGAGTGAAAAGGTTAATTAAATAAATAAGAAACAGCATAAATTTATTTCTTATTTTTTGCTTTTGTTTCTTAAGAGCGGTAGGGGCGCCATACGCGTGGGGTCGGGGGGGGGGGGGGCGTCGCCCCCCCTGCCCCCCTACTGGCTACGCCACTGAGCTCGACCAAAAACGAGTCGCATGGAACCTCTTAATGATATGAAAATAAAAAGCTTGTGATGCATAACCATGTGTCTGCGCTTTTTGACATTGCACCTACAACTAAAGAATCCCTCAAGGGTTCACGTCAGCTACTAGATACTGTCCTAAAACATTTGAGAGCCTTAAAAAACCTGGGACAACCAGTATCTCAGTGGGATACATTGCTTGTTTATATGGTATTATCAGAAGTTGATACTGTTACTAGACGAGAATGGCAGACTGAGAATTCTAATACTGAGTTACCAACCTGGACTACACTTGAGAAATTCTTTAAACGCAGATTTGAAATTCTTGAATCTCTTAACGTAGACAAGCGGCTGAATATCTCTAATACGAATGCTAATAAACCCAAAAACTATGTCGCTTGCCATGCATCTTCTACTAACAACACAGCGAACTATACTCGGAAGTATTTCTGTTTGTGTCGTGTTTCTATGGTAAAAATTCACACATCATTAATAATTGCGATACATTTTCTAAATTGTCCAATAACAAAACAATTGTTTATGTAAAAAAGCTAAAGCTTTGTTTTAACTGCTTGAGAAAAAACCATTCTGCTGTTAATTGCAATGCGAGCTTGTGTCTCACCTGTCACAAAAAAAAATGTTTGCAAACACTTTGCTACACTTGCCAAATAATCAAAATACCAACAAACCGAGTGAAAATACTAATAATCTGAGATGTGAGTTGTCACAAAAATCTGAAAAAGAACCCAGTCCTCATGCTACACAATCTTTTTATGCTTCAGAAATTATTTTGCACAAATCACCAAGTCAAACACTCCTTTCTACAGCTTGTGTTAAAGTTTCAAATAAAAACGGAGAATCAATTATTTGCAGAGTGCTGCTTGACAGCGCTACTACCGAGTGTTGCAAAAAAATTGGGACTTCCTTTGAAAACAGTAAATGTTGTTTTGGGTGTAAATAAAGCTGAAGCCACTGTTAACTGTGTTAACTATAAAACTAAGATTAAAATCACCTCAAATCAGAACAATTTTTCTGTCAATCTTAGTTGTTTAGTCATGGATAACATTTCTCAAATACTGCCAACTTATTCTTTTGATATGGAAGTTC